ATTTATTTTGAGAGCCATTTATTAATAACTTTTAAAATTTCTTTACAATTTCGGAGTTTTTCAGTTCTAGCCAAGTTACTCTTTCTTCTAAATGCTCATTTTCTACAGTTCCACTTAAAAATGGCATTTAGAAGATATTTTTCAATCTTAAGATATTTTTCGCGCAAAATGATGAAATAAATTTTGAATCCTTGGTCGCTTTGTAAAAAGTTTTGAAATCCCTTTCCAGCTTCGAATTTAGAATAAAAATAAAATAATTTTCTACGGAAAAAGTTTATAACAGATTATTTGGAAATCTCGTCACCTCCATACCTCTGAAGACTAGTTTGTTAGAAAAATGTAGTTTTTTCAGTTTTGATTGAATTTTTTTTGCTTTACTTTCTACTCAAAAAAGCTCTATTTTGCAGAGTTTTACTTAAAATAACTGGATCTGGAGGTCTTTATTAGTATTAAATTACAAGGTAAAGTTATAGCTTTATAAAAATGTTACAAAACCTTCTTTCAGCGTCCAATTCGGGACATAAACGAAAATAAATCCATATTGTTTTTTCCCCGAAAACCATTAAGATTTTCTCCAAAACTGATCACAAAACAAAAAGTTTTTAATGGAAAACGCAAAAAACTATTATTTTCTGATGATTTCCTTCTTTTCTGACTGTAGTGGGATCTTTTGAGCCAAAAATGACAAAATTAATTTTGCTAGAAAATTCGTCTTAATCATCGGTTTGCAGAGAACTTTAGAAAACCCATTTCAGCTTCGAATTTGCACCAACACCAAGTAATTTTATCCAGTTTTTTACCGAAAGTAATTAGGATTATTAAAAAAAACGACCAGAGAGCAAAAGTTTACAAAAAATTATTTGGAAAATTCGCCGCCCTCATCGTTATGAATCTTTTGCAAGTTCCTTTAAATTTTCAGGTCATTTCAGTTTTAACAAAGTTTCTATTAAGCAATTCTTTCTACGCAAAAATCGCATTATTTTTTAGTGTTACTTAAAATACTGGCAATCTTCAGGTATTTTCTGTAAAAAAAAAAGATAAATATGATTGGAAACTCGCCTCCTTAACAGCTTTGCAAAAATGTTTGGAAAACTTTTTGCAGTTTCAAATTATGGACAAACCCCTAATAATTATTACTAGGTCTTTTTTCAAACATATTTCCCCAAGCTGAAAAAGTTTATAATCATGTATTGGAAAACTCTTGGAAGCTGGGGTTTGTTCACTTTTAGGTCAAAATTTCTAAACAACACTGTCTCTAAAAAGAAAAACCGCGTTTTTCCTAACGCTTTACTGTAAAATACTGGGAAACTGAATCTTTTATGCAAACAAATTAAGAGGTCGATTTTACAAGAAAACTCGTCGACTTTGTTCACCCAGTTTTGTTGATGGACAAATCTAGATGACTTTTTTTAGTTGTTTGAACAAAGTAGTAAAACGTTACTCAGAAAAAATGTTAATGACCTTTTTTTAGGTGTGAAAATTCCAGTCTCGGGTCTCGTAAAGCTTGAATAGGTCACTTACGAACCGATGAGTTATAACTCGTTAACTCAGAGAGCGCCAACAACTCAATAGCGCAACTCAACAGTTGCAGCCAGTTTTGCAGACAATTTTTAAAAAATCCGTCACTAATCAGCCCCCTTATAGAAAATAATCATGTGTACGCCGCTTGAAAGACAAGAGTCCACTCTATAAATCCAGAAAACTTCATTTGAAAAACTCGGCAGTCAATCAAATTTTTAAATATTCCTGAAATGTTGCCAACTCGTTCGGGAAACACCTTTCTACAAAACAAAGCATCAAACGATAAATATTTTGCAACGACTTGATCAAAACAAATTAGTTCTAGCAATGTTGCCTAGGTCTATGGAAAAATTAAAATTGCAGGATTTTTCGCAATATTCCTGGTAGATGTTGCACGGCACTGCAAAGGCGACCGTCAAAATGAAGTTTTGCTGCAACCCTTTTGAAAAAGTCTGTTCTATAAAGGCTGCAAAGCTCAATTTAGGTAACCCGACAGTTAGAATTTTGACACTTTTTTTTATATTTCTAGAAATTTTCCAACTTGTTTCAGAAAAAAGGTTTTACGAAATAAATCACCAACCGAAGAATTTTTTGTAAAGACTCGTTAGAAGCAAACTAGCTCTATAAATGTTGCCAAGTATATTAAAAAAATACAATTGCAGGATTTTTCACGCCATTCTCGGTAGAGTGGGTGCATGGCAGCAAATTCTGCAACCGAACTTTCCAAGCTAAGCTACGCCTCCACCCTTAAAGCTAGAACAGGAATTTTTGAGCAATGTTAAGGACAAAAGTTCACTCCATAAACCCGGGAATTTTCATTTGGATAACCGAAGAAAAATCCGAATTTTGGCAAGTTGTTTTAATAGGTACTTTTAAAGGTTGTCAACTTTCTCCAGAAGAAAAAACCGTTTCTACGAAACAAGACATCAGATCAAGTCTAAGAATACTTCGCAACGACTTGGAGACACAATAGATCTAAAAATGTTGCCACGTCTATTAAAAAAAGTATAATTGCAGGATTTCTACGCCATTCGCGATAGAATCGTTGCAGGGCAGCGAGTTTTGCAATAAAAGATACTCAAAGGCCTGTTACGCCTCTACCCTTAAAACCACAAGAACGACTTTTGTGTCGTTTTAAAGGCAAAAGTCGACTCTAAAACTCAAAAAATTTCATTTGGATAACCCGACATTCAGAAGTTTGAAAATTTTCTTGAATGTAGGTATTTTAAAAATGTTGCCAAATCGTCCCTCAAAAGAACACAAAGATTGTTTTGCGACGACTTGTTAGACTATTGAAAAAGCCAAATTGCAGGATTTTTTGCAATATTAATCTCTCTATAACGCTTCCATTATTTAAGCTAGAAAGGCGTAATTTGAAATACAAAAGAGAGACAAACTAGCTGTATGCATGTTGCCAGTACTATTCAAAAATCAGGATTGCAGGATTTACCGCAATATTCAAGATAGATGTTGCATGACAGGGAATTCTGCAAGGCAACTTTCAAAGCTCGCTTACTCCTGCCCCTTAAAACGACAAGGGCGATTTTGTGCCATTTTACAGCGAAAATTCCACTCTACAAATCCAGAAAAGTTAATTTGGGTAACCCGATAAATGAAAGTTTTTCCAAATTTTGCCAACTTGTTCCGGAAAAGAACCGTTCTACGAAACAACGCATCAAACAAGCAATATTTTACAACACAATAAATGTTGCCACTTGTATAAAAAAAACCTAAGGTTGAAAGAATTGCGGCCAATTAGCAATTGGATTTTCAAAACGTCGCTGCTCTCCAAGTGCTTTTAAACAGCTTTTAAACAAACTTTTTTTCTGAATTCAAAGGGGAAAACCCCACAGCATCAACATAAAAAGTTTCATTGAAACAATCCATAATTTTGGCGAATTTAGGAAATTTGAAAACTTGCTCCAAAGATGCAAAAATTCAGGATACCAAGCAAAAAAACTGCAAAAGTGTCATTTGCCTTAAGAGTATTTGCAACACCGAAAAACCTCAAAGAGGCTTCGTTCCTTAACCAGCCCTAGACTCTAACACGAAAACAACTAAGTAAAGATCCGCAATTCACTCGAAAACTCCCTTAGTAAAACCCTGGAAATGCCATTAGACCTGGCATCTGCCAGCTAAGGAAACTAGTGAGGAAAGAGCCGAAAAACTTCGTTAAACTCAATCGACTCAAACGTCATTATTTCTCATTCCAAAGCAAAGAGGGCGCGACATTTCACAATTCGAATATCCGCTCAATTTATCATTACCTTTCATCACGGTAATAACTGGTAATTAATTGCACTCTTGCCTGTCCACAATGATCGATTGTTACATCGTTTGGCCAGCTTTTATCTATCGCCTTATTGTGTTCAACTAAATGCTCGATCCTAATGGAAAAACCATCTGGATGGCCTAAGAATTCCATTAGAAAGTTAACAGATTTAATGCATTCAACTAACTTCAACTTCAAAGCCCGACTAGCGCTTACTTAAGTAGATTAAAGCGATTCATTGTGCCTTGTGTCCACATTAACCCGGTTTTCATTAAGTGTCGCATAAATTCCCGTGCAAGCTAAGAACAATAACCCAGTTTAGTTTATTTTGTTCAATATCGTACCTTTGCACGGTTTCCTCCGAACTTTTTCAGATTAGCTTTCAGATTAGCTTTTAACTGGGCAAACTGAGAAAAAATCGAGTTTTTTCGTTTGCAAACCGGACGAGTAAGAAGGAGAGTAAACGAAGCAAAGTAGCTGGTAATGAAGCCCCTAAGATCGCTTATATCGGCTCATCTATACAGGGCAAACATCCATTAAAGTTTCATCCAGAGTGAAAGCGGGGAGGAAAACCTGCCCCTGAGGGAATACGAATATTCCATAGAGCAGATTTATCTATCCGGCCTGATTAAGTGCGTTTATCTCAGCAAGGCTTTCAATCAATATGCAATTAATGGACAACTGAAGGACAATTAACCAAATTAAATTGGAAATTTTTTGAAATCAGGCGCGAAAATGCTTTTGCATGGTTAAAATGCACAAAACCCTTTTTATTTTCGATTATCTGCTGGATGGCAACAAAACGGTGAATTAATCTGTTGTTGTAGGCTTTGCGTCAATTACTGGTACTATCTTGGACAACTCAAGATGTCGATCCTTATCGCTGCGCCAGCACTTAAGTAACTGACTTAGTGCACTGCCTAATTCGTCATAAATTCATAAATCTATTTATACTCAGAAAATGTTGTTTTATTGGAGTATAATTTGCGTCATTCGGGGCTTACAAGGACTAAATTGCTGAAAAGATGACGATTTTGATAATCCATAAAACACATTAATTGGGGTAAACAGATTGAGAAAAATTGCCCGCTGAGTTAAGCTAAAATTCGAGAATTATCATTAAAAACAATGAAAATGAGCTGGTATTGGCCGACGATAAGCCGGAGACCATCTTCAGGCGCAGGCCAAAGTTATCGCGAATATAAATACAGTTTGCAGTTTACGTAGCGCACATTCGCTCGCCACCCTGTCGCGTTCGCTCAGTTTTCCCCGGACGAGAAAAGTTCGCTTTCCATAACGTTGGTTATTTGTTCCTTTGACGATATTCATTGGTAAGTAACAAACTTTCGAAATAATTCGCCATTCTTTGCCGTTGGTTAAGCTTTGTAATACTGACAAGCTAGTGAAACTTACCGACAATCAATGTGAGTGTTAAAGTTTCAAATGGAAACTCTGGTTTTCACTTATCATTGATTTTTTTCCAGTTTCACTTTATAACTTGACAATAAACTGCAACTTTTGATCTGATGTCTTCTTGATCAATGTCTTGTTTCGTTTTAGATCCTCGATCTTCCAGCTCTGGCATCTCTTCTTGTCATCCAAATAATTCCCATAATTTAGCCTATATTTACTATTTATTCCTCTATATTTGCGCAAGTTTCTTCTTTTGATTTGCTGCCAAATATTTATTGCAAAAATACATACTTAAGTGTGGTTTACAGCAAACAGCAACTGCGTTGCGCCGAGTTAGAATAAAAGAGCATCAAATAAAAAAATTGTAGCTGAAAAACTCAAAAAATTAAGAACCATTCTCTTTCACGAGCAATATTTTTGTTATTGGGTTTGACTCAAAACTCTTCACCAAGAAGCAAAAAATTTCAAAAGTCAAGACTCAGAATGTAAAATGCTCAAACATAAAATTAATCATAAGAACCCCTTTCCTAGAAAATTTGCCAAAAATCGCTCCTGAACTAAATTGTCTCTAAAAGTCGAAAGCAAAATGTGTAAAAACCTGCCACATTTTGAGGCAAAACTCGACCAGAAGTAAGAAGAATTTCAATAAAGCGTGTCTAGAGCTAAATGTTCCGTATTGGGTTTCAATCGAAACTCTTAACCTCTAAAATGTAGAAGCAAGCAGATAAAAGCAGAAAAAAAGGAACTCAGTACTCAGTTCATTTCTACAACTGTAAATATTTGCTAGAAGCTACGAATTTGCCAAACTATCGTTCGTTAGTCAAGTTTCAAACAAATTTTTTAACTTCTAAAAGTTGAAAGCAAGATATAGCAAAACCATCGAAATTTACCGCCGAAATCCGAAATTTGTTGAAACTATCTGACCAGTTGTAAGAAACATTTTGATAAATCGCCTCAACGAATCAAAACTCAAAAACTGCTTAAAATATCAGTCTAATGGGAAGAACCATTTTCCTAGAGAATTTACCTCAGTACTTTTCAATTAAGAAAATGTTCAAAAAAACTTAACTCAGTACGCAGTTCATTTCTCAAACTGTAGAAGAAAAATACTGTAAAAATGTACATTTTGAATCCAGTGCCAAAAACCGCTTAAATCATCCGGCTAATCGTAAGAACCATTTTTTCCAGAGAATTTATCAAACTCTGATTCCTAAATAATCAAGTTTCAGGCAATTTTTTAAGCTCTAAAATGTGCGAGCGAAACATAGCAAGAGCTTCCACATTTTGATCAAAAATTCGAAAATGGTTGAAAATATTTGATAAGTTCTAAGGAGCTTTTTAATAACGCGTATCAAAAGTAAAATTTTCCTTATTGAGTTTAAATCAAAACCCTTAACCTTTAAAAATCTTCTTTTTCTGCTTAAAATATCAGTTTAATCGGAATAAGAACCATTTTGCTAGAGAATTTACCAAACTATCGCTCCTCAATAATATTTCAGGCAAATTTTTAACCTCTAAAACTGGAGAAGAAAATATAGCAAAAGCATCAAAAACATCTTGCTTCAAAATCCCAAATTTGTTGATATTGATAGTTCTAAGTACTGAGTGTTGAATTCTCACCACTGGGCTTACTCAAAATTCCTAATCTCTAAAAATGTGAAATAAAAATATTCTAAAAACTAACATTTCCAGTTAAATCTCTAAAACCGCCTAAAATATCAAGATCACGGTAACAACAATTTTGATAAAAAAATTTAGAAAATTATCGTTCTCTCATCAATTGTGGGGCACATTTTTTAACCTCTAAAAGTTGAGAGCAAAATATTTATAAAATATATGCGTCCGCATTTTCAGGCAAAATTCGAATTTAGTTGAATACTTCTGACCTGTGGGATGAAGCGCATCAAGGGTAAAATTTTATCTCAAAACTTCTAACCTCCTCTTGCGTTTCACTCAAAACTCCTACCTTCTAAGAATGTAAAAAGCAAAATATTTGCAAAACTAACAGTTCGAGTCAAATCCTAAAAAGTGCTCAACATATCAGGATAGTCGTAAAAAATGCTTTTGCAGGTAATTCGCTAAACTAGCGTTTCTTGATAGTATTAGGTAGAATTGTTAACCTCTAAAAGTTGAGAACAACACATGAGAAAAGCGTTCACATTTCGAGCCAAAACTGGAAATTGGTTGAAAATGAAACCCCCGTAAGAACCATTTGAATAAAACGCCGCAAAAGCTACATTTTTTAAAATCATTCAAATCTCAACCTCACCAAAGCTAGAAGCAAATACAGCAAAAAATTACATTTTGAAACATAGCTCAAAATTGGATAAACATTTCCTGATTTCTTAAATCTCGCAAACCGTTGACAATATCCGATCAATCATAAGAACTATTTGGTTAGAACGCTTCAAGGACTACATTTTCCGCACCTGGCTTTACTTAAAACTTCTAACCTCTAAAAAAGTAGAACCAAAATATGACAAGAACTTAAGAGTCAAAACTCGAAATTGGTTGAATATCTCTGCGCACGCGTAATTTTTCTATAAAACGCCTGACGAGCTACAATTCCTTTATTAAGCTCTACTCAAAATCCCTAACCTCGGAAAAGCCGGAAGCAAAATAGGGCAAAATAATTCACATTTTGAGCTATATCTCAAAGGGGGCACAATTTTTCGTATCAGTCATAAGAACCTTTACGAAAGAGCTTGTGACGGTCGTCTGAGGATAAAGTTTTGCAAAAATTCTAACCTCAAAAAAGCTAAAAGCCAAATTTGACATAAACTTGAACATTCCGTGTTAAATCTTGAAAAGCACTTCGATAGAGAACTTGAAGGGCTAGATTTTCCTCACAAGATTTCACTCAAAATTCCTAACCTCTAAAAAGGAGTCCAAGGCAAAATAAATTGCCATTAACAGACCAGGAAAAGTAGAAGGAAAACAGAGAATGGAAACAATGGCATTTCCTTTCCCCACATCAGTTAGCTCAAATACGAACCGTCACCTGTTAAATTTCAATATTCCCTCAAAAGAGCCGATTTATTTGCATACCGTTTCGCCAGTGTCATGAATAAATCCCCTTACATCGAAAATCATAAGCGCCCGCACTCGTTCCCCGGTTTACTCCAAGGCGAAAGTATGATTAATACCTGGGAGAAATAGTTTATTCCCGGATCATCCATTAGTGGAATTACCTCTCGATTCTTTAGTTCATGATGGATTATTTTCGGGCCATTATAGACACGGCCTCTTCCTCCCGTGCACCCTTTGATCGGATCAGCCCGCTTTAAAGTTCATTTAGGCCGTTTAGGGAACAACATCGGACCGATTCATTGTACCATTGATATGAAATATTTAACTGCTATTTCCACCTGCGGGAATTTCAATAAAATTTGCAATTAATATTCACTAAGGGGGGCGCGATATATTTTTATTCAAACCACAGGCACTTGCGGCTATTAAATCGCATCGATTCATCGAGGGATGGGTTTGTAAATTTCCTCATGAATTTTCCATTAGTTGGCCAATTAAATTTCCATTAGAATGCAAGTTTTACATTTGGAAAAATCCCTTCTGGAAAAAAAACAATACCACCGTTCCATTCATCATCGTTTCCCTTAATTATCCCGCAGGTGACTTCTATTGGATCATTTTCCGACTTCACCGGCATCTCTCATTCCCAGACATCCGGTATTCAAATGTTTCTTGCGGTTTCCAGAAACATTTTTCAGGTCTTCGGTGTTCCATTACTCTTTGTGTCGTTTCGGGCTTAGTTTTGGGATCTCTGATGCAATGTAAATTCCCATTCGAGCCGCCAAAGAAGGGCCGCGATAATGGGAGAAACCTAGATAGTCCTGTATGGTCCTGGTTTTCGCTGAAGCCAATAATATTGAAGCCCAGAAATAACTGGATTAAATAGAAACTTAGGTTGCAAGACAATAAGTTGTCTCACAAATTCAGCTCGTCGGTAGGTACGTCCATTACCGGAAACTCAAATCCTTAGAGAGTCACCATCCCTGCTTAAATAAATGCTCATTTTTACGGCGTTTTTTTTTAATGGAAGGGTCAAGATAATAAACACACTCTTGCCTAGTCATGTGAGTAAAAAGTGCAATAAAGCACTGGAATGGCGGGAGTTTAAAGGGGAATTTTACGCGATTTCGGGGACTGGTTTAATAGGCTGAAATGGGCCACTCGAGTCTGTTCTGCATTTTTGCCAGAAACTTCATTGAGCTGGGAAAATGGAACAACTGCACCTTCACTTAAAGTTCAACTTCCACCGGAATTAAAGACTGGTGCTTAGGGAACACTCTGTGTATAAAACAATGCTCATTTTCATTCGCATGTGGATGAAATTTCACTCAAATCCACCAGTTCAGACAATTTTTCATTTCAGCAAAGACTGCAAGTTTGGGAAGACCATGGAAAAAAATCCTCACTTTATCGAAAAAACGACTGAAACTTTTCGCTTATGCATCAGCAGACATTCTTCACTTGATATCTGGCTGAAATTTCCTTCAATTGCACCCATCCAGGCAATTTTCCAAAACATGTTCACATACACAAGAAATGAAAAATCCTCACTTAGACACTCCTCAAACTCACTGGTTTCACTTTACTTTCAACTGAATCCCTCAGTTAACCTCTGGCAAAAAAATTCATCCAGATACTGTCACTTACGCACTTTTCCAGGAATTTTCAAACATTCCAACCAAAGACTAATTAAACTTTCCACACGATCAGACGGGTTTCGAACCCATCAGTTCTCATCATCCGAGTTTAACCCGAAAATATCACTCTACTCCCGAAACCTGTACTCGTATTTCGCCCATCCAAACCCGTCTTGGGGTGCCTGAGACGCACTTCCCACTCAAATTTCTCCTTCCTCCCCATTCCGTTGAGTGGTGCTTGCAAACAAAAC